TGAGTGATTTGACTAACTGAATTATTACCTGATAGTTTCTCTGTAAAATAAATTAATACAATTAATTTTAAAACTGCATACATACTAATAAGTTGAAAACAGAACTTAGCTGAGACTTTAGAAGGAGAGGTGGTTGCGCTATTTGAAAGCCATTGCCAGACTCCTATGAACTGTCAGCAAGGTGTTAGAAGGCCGGTTCATCATTGCTTGGTCAGCCTGTGTCCTGAGCACCTAGCACTTGGCTCTCTGTCAATATTTGTCCAATGCCGAGTAAACATTGCTTTCTAATGTGAAAGCCGATGGTCTGCTGAATTCAGATGCATATCACCCCAGAATGTATTATTTCCAGGACACTACAGGTGGAAGCCACACGTGAAAACATACTCAACCAGTGTAAACCTATGAATATGTATTTGGACAAACTGTACCTATACCCAGATACACATCCACCGTCCTGCATACCTGAGAAGCAGACCATGGTGTAAACAAGCCTCAGCACATAAGGAAATACACTTGGTTTGTTCTCCTATTAAATACTTTTCCATCATGCTAATGTTTTCAATTCTTTATAAATGAGATGTGTCATAAGGATAATACAATCTAATCCAAAACATCCTTTACCTGTAGGTGCTATCAAAATTTATATGTGTACATAGAAATCTACAGTTGAAAAGTATAGCTCCTGTAAGAGTCTGTGCAAGGAGATCACTATTCACCCTTGACAAAAAAAAGTTATATATATATAATCTGTGTGTAATCAATAAATCCAAATGATAATTGCATTGGAAATAAATATGGTGCTTAGAAATCTGAGAAATGTTTTCCTTTATATATTGTCAACTAGAATTTAATTGAAACATCCATTGATCCATAGTACATTTTATTAATAAATCTACTCTTCACATTCACACATTTTTTTAAAAAATGTTCTAAGAAACAACTGTTCTAAAAAACATGTCTTTGGTGTCCAATAAAAATTTCTAAACGAGGAAAAGGAGAAAGAACACTTTTCATATTTTTAAAGCACCGTTTTAGAAACATCACTGTCAAAAACACAGTTGATAAAATCGGGCAATTATACTTATGTTTAAAATAAATCTATTTTCCCCCTGCAGACTTTCAAAACATTAGAAGGAGGGGGGGAAAAAAACATGGAAAACAGGCTTCTTTAAGAAACAAAGTGAATTTATTCATTGTCAAGAGGACAAATCAGTGGTGGGTGAAAAACAGATGAGGCAAGAGATGGAAATGTAATATTGCCCCTATTTCATTATAATTGGATATTTATAGAGCACAGATGAGTTTATTTTCATAATTAGTAACTGGCATTGCATTTACTAATTTGCATAAACAGTTGGCTATCAAAGCAGTAACTTATTTGCAGGGCTCTCAAGTCCTAGCAGGGACAAGAGGGGGGTCAACTCCTCAAATCAGCTTTTTAAATGTCATTACCAGCAAAATACAATCTACATGAAATCATGTTCAAGTTCATGTAGCTTGATTATCTCTTTCCCATATGGCCAATGTTGACTAGTTCAGTATTGGACAGCCAATGGTCAAATCCACATGGGGAAAACTACAATAAATAAATCAGAAGGGGTTTCTAAATTCTGAAGGATTAAAGTAGATCTCAGGTTCAACACTAACTAGTCCAGTAAATAGAGAGTTCTGTAGAGCAAAAGAAAAAGGAATTAAATGCCCCCAGCCACCCTTACTATTCAAACATCGTGCCAGTTCTTGGCAATTGTCAGTTACTTCTCTTGCTGGTCATTCTCAACATTCTCATACCTTCCCTTGCTTTACAAAACTTTCACCCAACACATGGATCAGGTTCCCTGGCATTAATGGCAAAGACAGAACAGATTCCTGGTGTCCTGACCACTGCTATGAGCAAAGAGAAAATTAATCAAGCATGCGCCAGTGACTACCTCCCACTATTGACATCCCGCCAGAAATCTTGGAGGAATATTTTACATCGCCCTTCTCCTCAAGCCAAAGGACAAAAAGTTGTGGTTCATGGGCCAAACCATTTGTGCGTGTGTGCACACATGTGTGTGCATGTGTGTGCACGTGTGTATGTGTGTATTTATATATGAATATAGAGACAGAAAGATGATATGAGCTGATGTTTTTATTTTTAAAATCCAATTCTGGGCTTCTCTTGAGGACCTGGTGACATTGGGCATGCATTCTTGCATGGCAGCAATCAGCTGGAGCAGAGTAGAGGCTGTTGCCTTTGACAAGCTTTCTGCTCTCCACTTTGCCACAGTTCCCACCATTCCCTACTGTTTCTCTTACACTAGGATTTTTCTTAGGATGGGATCTGCTCTTTGATGATACCTATTAGGCCCCTGAAGACATTTGAGTCTTCAACACCTACTCCAAGTTCAGTTTCAAGGGAAATTATTTGGTAACCCAACCCAGAATGGGCAATCCCCAAATTAACAAGAAAAGGGGCAGGGAGGTCAAAACACACTCTCGACACTTAAACACAGGCTGAAAAAAATCAGATTTAAAAAAAAGCTGACCACAGCTGGCTGCTGAATAACTCCTTTGGTCAGCCACTTTGGGGTAAAGTCACATTTGTTTTTGGCTCAATGCAACCCAATGGTCTTGTCAATGTGGTGCTTATCATTGTAGCCTAAATATGCTGTGAATTTCACAATTCTTCCCAATGCAAGTTTACTGCTTCATGATAGCTTTAAACAATGACAGAATCTGAGGCACTCTTTTCTCTGACAAGCTGCTAAGAATAAATCCAAAGACCTTTCCACTTTTATTCTGGGGAAATCAGCGACCATTTCTCTCTGTCACTTGTACACACAGGCCAAGCGAGGCCTGGGTGGAGGAGGGGACTGGAGCCAGAACATCTGGCCTCACTCCATGACCCCTGGGGGTTCCTTTGCTCAGTAGCTTGGGGTGATAAGGGTAGCGGCAAGAGGCAGAGGTTGGTATAGAACTCTGGACAAAGTACTGATCTAAGGGTGGTGTGGGTGACAGATGGCCAAGACTCGGCCTCTGTCCTTTAGGGAGGTGGGGGGTGACTGAAACACATGAGTAATTCTGTTTCAAGGCAGCTTGGCATAGGTACTTTATAACAGAAGCACAAAGTCAGGTGGACCTAGGAGGCTTAGGTCTTAAAGGATGACCCAAGGTCGTCCCTGGGTCCAAGAGAGGCCATATAGTGTGGTTAGGGGCTCAGATTCTGGGTTTCTTTTCCATTTATTAGCCATCTGACTTCAGTTATTAACATCTCTCCAGCTTGTTCTAAGCAAGGCTAATGCCATCACCTACCTCATAAAATGGTTGTAAGGATTCAGTGTGACAAGGCACCTGAACACATGACACAATGAATGGCACATGGGAAATAATCAGGGTCAGCAACAGCAGCCAGAGAAAGTAAATAAGATCCCCATGTGCAAAGCCTAAAACCACGAAACACATCTATCTTATGGGATGCTTTAGGTGATTAGAGAAATAAAACGAGAGAGATGGAGTGAGTGTGGGGAGGAGGAAGGGAGACTGACTCTGATGTGGTCTCAGAGAAGCCATGGGAGGAGGGACAGGTGCCACAGCTCCATGTGCTTCGGAAAGGTTGAGTCCTGGGCAAATGAGGTGGCTTTGCCGATGAGGACATCCTGGCAGCCTCGGGTTGAGCAGAGTAGAGAAGTGGGGGTTACAGCCAGATGTACCCTTTCAATTATTATTGCTCTTCCTCATCCCCCTTTCTCACCTCCTTTCAAAAGGTACCAAGCTCAAGTTAGGGCAAGGGTCCCCACGACAGATTTCTGAGAATGAACCCAGCCATGATTCGCATAAAAGGAGCAGTCAGTCAACTAACCCAAAGTGAAAGGACTGAGCTGCTTCTGAGGTAAAAGTCCACAGACTAGTCATCAAATCAGCACGCTCAATAACCCGTCAACCCCTCTTTCTTCAACATCCTCACGCCAGAATTCACATTTCCTACTTCTCTTATCAGCCAATCTTGGCAGGAAGCAGGCGCACCCAGCTTTGCAGACATGGGGGCTGCAGAGTCAGGCAGGAAGAGGGGTGAACCAATCCAGATACATATTTATAATGTATCAATTAACTTCTCCTTTCTCTCCTGAACAGCTAATCCAATTTGAGCTGGCGATCCAGGTGCTCTGGGCTCAGGTCTCTGACAGCTTTGATTAGGAATGGATGAGTGAGCTGTGCTATCCAAGGTAGGAAGTGCCGAAAGGCACATCAGGGCATTAGGGCAGCCGGCCTGCTCAGCGCCTCTCCTTTCTCTCCCATCACACACACACACACACACACACACACACACACACACACACACTGCCTACCTTGCAAACAGTGCGCTCTGTGAGTTCAAATCCAGCATTATCTCTTTCTCCTTACGATGCATTGCCTCTCCTGTGTTCTTCTACAATCTCAGTCCCACCAATCTTAGCTCATCACCCCATCAGAAAATTTCCACTCCCCAAAATACAGGCAAAAAATAAGTATCCCCAGATTTTACATTAGATAATATTTCAAGTTATTCACCAACCCTCTTCTCTTTCTTATGTAGCATCCTTCCCTCACTGATGTTATCCCCAAATTCAGCAGTAATGGAAACAATGGTACATCATTTCACATCTCCCTGTTCCCTCCATTATGTTTATTGGGAGGGATTCGTAGAATATCCTGCATTAAGTAGACTATGTCTTACTCACACTGCACAACCACTTTCAGAGTCCCCCATTCCTTCGAGAACCAGGACACCATAATAGATATGGCTCCTGGATTTAACAGGAATTGGGCCAACTGGGAACTATCCCAAACATCCAACATGAAGTGCACTGAAGGGAAATGATAGCACTGGCTTTGGGTTTTTTTGTTTTGTTTTTTAGTTGTTAAAAGCACTAAGTTATCATTTGGACTGTATTCATCAGAATCAACAATTCCCCTTGGATACATGAATATTTCAGAAGGCAGATTGATTATTATAATGATAAAAATAAAATGATCACTACCTTTACTTCTACCTACAGAAATGAAGTGGAAGGTCCAATTAAGTAGAGGAAGCATGGTGTCCACCATGGAGGAGGCAAGAGAGAGAGAGAGAGAGCAGCGAGAGTAAAACATCAGGACACTGCAAACAGACAAAGGAATGTAACACACATAACAAAACCCCACAACAGTAACAGCAACAGCACAACAACATTCTGAGAAGGCAGCACAAAACAAATCCATAATGTGATGCTTAAACAAGCCATAACAGTGAGACCTGCTTCCATCTGTGGCATGTTTAAGCTTTCTCCCATTAGTATCCCTTGTCCCATCCTTGGAAACAGGACCACATTTTCATGCACAAGCACTGCACAGCCACATGTATGTGAAATCCCATGCCACATGTATGTGAAATCGCACACACTTAACCAATCTAAAATTGGCCAGGGAAAGTCTCAGAGAAGCTGAGTTCTGCTGTATTTTCCCAACATTAACAGGATCATGAGGATCAAGAGTGTAACATACATGTATGGAGGGTGCACACACAACATATGTCAGTATTTCCACACATATTTATGCACATCAAAAACAAAGTCTGGAGATTCCAAGGGTACCAGACAGAAATCTCTTTCATGTTGAAGGGATAAGGACAAGGACAAGGAAAGGAGTATTGGTGGGAAGTAGAATTGGTTTCTTAGTTAACCATCACAGGGCGAGCACAGAGGAGAGGCTGGGAAATGGGGCGGGAGGGGGGGAGATTAGAGGAGGAGGAAAGTAGTTAAAGGACCTTCTAAAAAGCAGATTAAACTGCCAGATTGCAACTTAAAATCTCAGAGGCACTGCCCACCCAGAAGAATTCTGCTTCTTTTCGTGAAAGCCTCTCTAAAGAGGAATTCACAATATTCGTGTCTGTCACTATTTTACTGCCTAAAGACTCTTTTCCTAGAAGATACCTGACTTAACCCCCCGACTATGTGCACCTGGGTGTGCCTGAGTTCTTTACTCATGCACACATCAATCTGGGTGCCCAAGAGAAGCTCAGTAGTGAATGGAAATAGGCAAGGTTTGCAATAGAAGTTCTCCACATGCTTTTCATACCATCGTTGGGAGTTAGCCCTCCAAAATACCTGTGCTGCATTAGTGTGTCTGAAACAAGCCTAACTAAGGTTAAAGAAGTCCCCACCAGCCTGTCCCATTGCCTAGACTCCATCCTATGGCATCAGCCATAAGATGCACTCAGACTCTAAGCCACTATAAAAGCTGGGAGGACCCCTAAAGGTCAACTGGGATCACCTGTGAGAGAATATAAAAGGGGGTCTTCTCATCAGGACTCTGAGGGCCTACTTTTTCTAGTGTAACTTATCAAAATTGGGCCAGAGAATTCTAGCAATTCATAGAGCTCAGATCCACCCACTTGGTAGATTTGTGCTTAACTTTCTCAAACTGCCTGGCCACGAGGTCAACTTCAGTAAATCCCCCACTCATACCCATTTCATAGTGACCTGCTGTTGGTAGATAACTTTGCCTTATAGGCAGGTAACGTCACCTACAAGAATAGAGAGGCTTCATGCCATCCTCTTCCAGAGCTCCATGTAACACCTGAAAATTCACGTGACCTCCTCCCTCCAGCTCTGCTCTTTGACACCTGCTCTATACCAGACAGTGTCTTCATTGAAAAGTCCGGAGTCCACATCATGGATCTTGCTCAGGTCTGGAGGATGCACTTGTATTGGGAAAGTGTGCTTCCTTCTCAACCTGCCTTATCATTTAGGATGCCCTCCACTGCCCACCTCTGCAGCTACCTGGACACCATAAAAATTTTTTCTCAGCCCTGGGTGGTTCCTTGATCTGATCAGACTCCCCTTTGTGGCAGCACTATCTGATGGATCCAATGTAAGGAAATAAGGGTGGGAGGAAAGGTAGAGAAGCCCTTCAGTGCTGCCCCGCCTTTGTCAAGAGATGAAGAAAAACAGAACAAGGAAGTATCCTTCCTTCCCCTTTTCTTTGGTCCTCCAAAATGGGCACTGAGCCCCATGTGTATTTGAGGTGGGTGGCGGGGTGGGGGGGGACAGAAAAGAGATTAAAGTACAGTCTTTCCGTGTCAGGGCAAGGCAGGTAGCCCAGTCTTGCAATCATCCCAAGTCTCAGAAGGAACACAATGGTGGCAATTGAACAGCAAAGGAAAAGACAATTTTAAGTAGGCTTAGATCTCGAATCCTGATTTAGGCTGATAATGTGGAAAATTTTTATTTAGGAGAAAAAGGCTTCATTCACAGCCCACCCTGTGCTTAGCTGAGCTGAATTTCCTGCACAGTTCATTCCCTGCATATTTGAATATTTTAGGTTGCAGATGCTGAATTCACAGATCTTTATATGCAGTTTTCTTCAGGGTGTATAATGAGTTAGAATCCTGCCACGAGGACATTAGCATGTTCTCTTGGTGGTTTTTGCTTTTATACAAAACTGAAAACAGTCAACCCCCAAGGGCTGCCTTTCACCACGAGGGGCTGAAAGTCATTACAAAGGGCAGTGGGGATGGAGGGGAAGGCAGAAAGCAAACCTTACTCAGGGTGGAATTCTGGGAGAAGCCCAGCTCCTCTCCCCCAACCCCAGCATGGGGCGTGGGGAGGAGCAGGAGGAAGTTAACCGCTCTGCTGCTCTGAAATTAGCTTCATTCACCCCCATTATCGACACCGTCATGCCTTGTTTCATGCTTCCCTCTCAGAGGCAGCCCTGCAGGGCCAGCGCCCCAGTGACAAATGTGCAGAATGGCAAGGCCAAGGAGACGATGGGGGTGGGAAACCAAGATGCATCGGGAAAGGTGCTCCCACCACAAGGGGCTCTGCCGCCAGCCTGGCCGGGGATGGGAAGAGCAGGCAGCAAATGGCCTGCAGCGATGATGAGGGTCCGAGCCACCAGCCAAAGGCACAAAGGCAAGCGATTGGGGCAGCTGTAGCACCACAAGCAAAACACACCTACCTTGTTCACTCATCATGAGATGGGAGAGGCCTTGAGGAAAGAGAAGATGGGAAAGGGGGAGTTGGAGAGGGGAAGGAGAAAGAAAAAAGAAAGAAGACAAAGTTAGAATTCTGAATGCAATGCAATGCAATCTTCTCTTAATTCTTGAGTGGAGGGAGGGGTGGCACACACACTCCAGAGCATGCAGAGGGACTAAGGCCCGCCTTCCCGCTGCTGGGCAGAAAGGCCCAGCTCTGCAGCCTAAGACAGGCTTCCGTTTGCTGAGCTGTTCTGGGCCTCATTCACGAGAACTCCCACACTGCTTCTTGCCATAGGCAGGATCTGAGATAAATCTATTAACGCTGAGGTCCCTTGGCAAAGAGACTCCAGATGCCAGGCAAAATAGGTTTCTTTCTTTTAAATTACTTTTAATAGTAATACATGGTCACTGTAGAAACTTTGGAAAATTCAGAAAAGAAAAACATTAGTTATAATCTCACCATCCAGAGATAACCATCCAACTTTTTTCATTTGAGATACAGTATTCTTTTCTATAAAAACTGAATGACACTGAACACACCAAATGAGCTCCTGCTTGCAAGAGCTGCATAGACAACAGAAAACAATGTTCTGCTGTCCCCTATTGCCCTCTTCTTAGCTCAGTGACAGCCAAACCCTCCTCTGCTTCTCCACCACCATCTTCTCCTGGAAAGTCCCTCACCCGAGATCAGGGAGGTCCAGCCCAGCACTGAATGGGTTAGAGAGGGAACCACAATCCCAATACACAAAGAGCACAACCTCTGGCTCTGTTCTCATGGAAGTCAAACAAGGTTATTAAGAGCTCATTACTTCAAAGGAAGTACAAGCTCTGATAAATCAGTTACAAGAAAAGATTTCCAACCAGTAAGCAACTGTACCAGTTAGTTGCTCATCCATGGCTTTTATTATTACTGGAGATATTTGACAAAATCCAGATCACCCCAGAGAACCTTTACCCAGAGTGAAATTTAGGGATATATGGGATTAATAAAGGAGAAAAATCTCTGAAGTATGGAAATCTCTAAATGTTTTTTGGAGATTACTAGCGATTTAGAAAAGTAATCAGAGGCAAAATATGAGTCAAGCAACTGACTTTTAAAAGATCAATGGTATATTAAATACATAGATAGATACATATGCCATAAATGTCATGGAGTCTATTTTTTAAACAAATTTTATTAAACTATAACCATATTTTAAGTGCATATTTCTGGCATTCATTTCTCAAGCCCTAGGATTAATATCCATGAAAGAATGGAATCATGCCAAAGCAAGTCATTCTCATGATTTGTTTTGTTTGTAAAAAATTAATTTTTGGTCTTTTATTTGGAGGGGATAGTAGAGAGAGAGAACAATGGGCCCTGGATTTGGCTAAGGGAAACTTTGGCAGAAGTCACCATTTCAAAAATGTCTGATATTTCTGGACCAAGCCATCGCCTTCAGCATCCAGACCAAGAGTACTAAGGGAGAGGGTCTGGGAAAGGCAGGTGGAGTATGTAGAAAGGTGAAGGGGAACAGAATAGGTATGTAAATTCAGTAGGTGACTATTCACAGGAGGGTTGTAAACACTGAGAAATGAGAATAAGGAAGATTCAAGGAGATACCTAAGAGTGAAACAGAAAGTTAAAAATGTAGGAAGAATAATATTGTATTATAGACTTGAAACTTAAATGTTCTCACCACAAAAAGAAATCATAATTATGGGATGGGATGGAGGTGTTAGCTAATGCTATGGTGGTAATCAGTTTGCAGTTTATAAATGTATGAAACCAGCACGTATACCTTAAACTTACATGGTGTAGTATGTTAATTTTATCTCAATAAAGCTGGAAGATTAATATTCTTTTAATTTAAAAATGAAAGTACAAACATTTTGTACCTGTGAGTAAAGATGATTGGCAGCTGGGAGAAGGAGTGAGTAGAAGAGAGGTGGTGGATTAGTCTTTATCTGGCCCAAATAGATATTTCAGAAATTTAGCAAATGAAGAGTAAGCAGGACACTTGGTAGTCAGAGAGTAGTCAAAACCCTGGAGAAGCTCCTACAGTGGGGCCCCATTTAGGGGCTACACATGTGTTTTTTTAAAGTAGTATTTCCCAAAGTGTATTTTACTGGCCACCTTCAACAATCACATGGGGATGCTTATTAACAGTGAAGATCTGGGCTGCACCCCAAATCTAATAAATCAGAATCTTGGGGAGGAGGTGGGGGGAAAATCTGAATGTGAAATGGCTTGCCCAAATGATTGCCATACTTACTAGAACTTGAGAGAGCTACCCCTTGAAGTGGCATATAATTCAAATTCTGTTAAAGTAAATTTTATGATAAATGCAGTATTGGATAAAGAGGCATTGGATATTTAATGGAACCCTGCAGTGGATCCTTTTGCAAAAGGAAGAATCCTTTTAAAATGCAAATAACCCACCACCTGTGTCTTTAAAATTCAAATATGTACTTAGCAGGTTTTATTAAGCTACATATGTAGTGGCAGCATTGCAACTGGAATCAAATGTTCATATTCTTCAACTTATAAAAATCTTAAATAGAAATATTAGGCCAAGAATGCAGATCAGGGATCCTGATGTCAAAACTCTGGTGTTGCAGGCAATAAAGCAAAAAAGAACATGAAGAGGAATATACAGCAGGAATATATGGGAAACAGCATGAGGGAGCAGAGAAACCGAGTAACCATAACACAGCTTGAGTTTTATTTTGTTTTTTGAGAAGGGAATTTTATTACACTTTCAAGAGTTTTTACATCAATATCAACTCACGTACAAATTCATCAATTTGACCTATCCTCATAGCTGTGGGTTTAAGAACTGGAAACCAAGAATTCTAGAGACTCCAGGTCTTTTCTAAAATTCTGTTGCTAGCCCCCTTCTATTCCAAAACACTTAAAAAAATAATTGCAAAAAATTAGAAAGCAACCGAAGTATCTTCTATCTAAATGTCACACCCTAGCTGGATCTAGGGGCCATTCTGGATCTCAAGATGTCTGCTGTTTTTTAGCCTTCCCCTCACTCTTTCCAGAGCTATATTCCACCCCTCTGTTTCTGTCTATTTGTGTGGTGCACAGATTCTCAGGGTACATATAAGAACAAGAGGAGGAAAAGCTCACCAGTAGGTAAGACATACAAAGTTGAAATTGCCTTAGAACAGACTGTAAATCATATGTAAAGTTTATACAAAATATACCTACAGCCTTCTAAATTGCATGATATCCTTGGGGAAAACCCCCATGGAGCTAGTTGCTTTTGCAGCTTGGGAGAATGGAAATGGCTATGAAAGCAAAACCATTTGTAAGCAGCTGTGGCCATCATGAAGCCTGTCATGGTAATGACTAATGCAAAGAATAGGAGCCATTTACTGAAACAGGAAAGAGGAAGATGCAATGTTCAGGGACCAGGCCAGAAGGTGAAGACCTTCATCATGTAAGCTAATACTGTCTCCCCCTCAAACCTATACTATCCCACCCACCTCAGATAATTTTCAATCCATCCTTCCTTCACTCTGGCTGGGAAATGGGGGAAAGTAATTCAGGGGAGGAAGGAAGTCACTCATGAGGAAAATATAGATTCAGGGGTAAAAAAAAAAAAAAAAAAAAAAAAAAGCAAGTTATCTGCCAAGGCTTTTCTTTCATTCACTCTCAGGGTAACTTTTATGCCAGTATAAAATCTACATATATCATCTCTTTCTCCACACTGAAATAGAGAAATTAAATGTCACTAATTACAGCAAGTGCCAAGTGCCAATGTTGAATTCTTATGAAGCCACAAGGACTTTTGAAAAGAGTAATTATGAAAAATCAGAAGGTAATGAAAACATTCATTCTGGAGGAACTAAGGGGCTAGTGAGGGTGATAGAGGGCGGAGCCTGAGAAAGAGAGAAGTCACAAGTGACCACTTCTGTAGGGTGACCGGGAATTTGGAAAAGAGAGAAGGGGGAAGAAGAAACACATATCTTAGCATTTTAAGCACTTAAAAGAGAGGAAATTCAGTTAACTTGGCAAGAATTCTAACAGTAATAATATTTGTTGACTGTGTACTATAGGCAAGGCATGGCTATGTGTCATCTCATTAAACATCACTATATGGGATAGACATTGCTATAATTTCCATTTTACAGATAAGCAAAGCAAGGCTTAGAGTCAAAGTCACACTATTAATAAGGGGTGAAGTGAGGATTCTAAGCCAACAGATGGGCTCTCCAGGCTGTGATGGTAACCATGACACTATCTATTCTGTCCAATTTGGTGCTGGTAGAGAAGGAAAGACACGTGTCTTAGAGAATTCAGGAGCAGAAATAGTGTCTGGACATCAATTTGACTTCATCCCTGACCCTGGTGGAGCATGATATGAGGAGCACTTGGGGAATGCTTCTTCTAAACAGCCACCATCTTCCCCACCTCAATTTCCATCCCCAGATTCTACTAAAACATAAAGCTTTTCTTTTCCTTTCCTAGGTCATTTCTTGAGGTTATTAAGGCACTTTCTTCATTAAATGGAAATCTGAATACAAGACACACTCAGGCTCCTCAATCATTGTCACTGTCCTGTGCGTGAGACCATTAGGAAGCCAATGGATATCTGTCTCCAATGATAGGGATGATGCAGGGACATGAGAGTAAAGGAAGGACAGAGACATGCAGTCGCAGTGTGGGAAGTTGGTCATTGAGGGCAGGAGGGAAGGCACAGGGGATGGGGTGGGATTGGAGAGAAGAATGCTTGAAGGGAAGAGGTGGGGTCCTCTACCTCTTCCACAATTATGCCTCAGACCAGCCCTTCCCAGGCAATTCCCCGACCTTCATTGTGAACTTTGGTCTCCTTGTTCTACCAGGGGTTCATCAGTAGCTTGCAGGGGAGCCTGAGCTTGTTCAACATTTTGATCAATAACTTTCCTGAGAACACTCATGGCATGCTGTCTTATTGTGATGAACTAAAGCTGAGGGGAATAGTTAATTTGTTAGTTATCAGAATCAGGGTCCAAAAGAATGTGAATAGGCAAAAGTGAA